TACTTATAAAATTTGATAAACATCCATACATAGTTTTGATTTTGTTAGTTGAACGCACCCCCCAGTGTATTATGCCAATCTATTTACAATCTTAGTAATAGCTCAGGTCATACATATAGTGATGATCATTAGTCAGTCATTGTTTTTATAAGATTTGCGTCACACACCCCAATGGTACATGCATGCATGGGTAATTAATTCCGCTTATTATTACGACTAAAAATAGGCATAAATTATTATGATCATATGAAAATTGTTGCTCGTTTATTTAGACAAAAAAATTTTCGACCATACCTGAGAAGATACCGATTTATGTGATTTATATTATAAAGTCAAAATTTTATAGGGTTGTTATCTAATTAGGTTTCAATAATTTTCCTTGACATTAAAAAAGATCGTATAGAAATAAAAGAAAATTTTATTTTTTTATATACAATTTGCATTTTATCCAGCAATTAGCGCCGTTTAATCCTATAAAATCAATCAATTTAAGGATATATAATGTACAAAAATCTTGTAGCATTTAACTTTGGTAACATTTACATTTACCTTATCCATCAATTAGTAATAAATTTTTTAAACAATAAAGTATTAGTGAATATCGAAAGAAGTATAGGTAGCAGGCATTGCCAAACTTGAAAATTATTGTATTTCCAAGAAATAAAATTTTGTGTTGCAAATTGGAAATACAATTGTTTCCATAGTTATGATGAGTATTTCGAATTTTCTAAAATTTAGTAATTAAATAAATTCGATTTCGACGTTTACTATTTTAGTATTTTATCTTTTATGCTGCGGTGTGTAACCGAAAAATACCATCTTTGACAATCAAGCGAATAATAAAGATTCCGCCTCAATAAAAAAAGTTCAATAAGTAGTCCTAGCTGTAGGTCCCCGTAGTAATTCATGTGATTCATTCTACAAATAAAGACCGAGGCCAGGCCTCACTCAAAAAAAAAAAAAAAAGTTCAATAAATAGATAGATTTTCAGTAATTTCGAAGTCCAACAACTATTATATTTACAATTTACGATTCATTAATTTCAAAATGCCACCAACGCCAAGTAGTCTCTTAACGTACCGATGTAATAAAACTATATCATGTAATTCTTGCAGGCGCTTGAAAATCAAATGTGAAAACGAGGTAAATTTTGATCAATCTGCTAAATGCAGTGGATGCATAAAACGTAATGTTGTATGCACTTATACTGAAAGCACAAAAAAGCGTGGACGCAAACCTAGGGAAAAACCTCCTACTACACCTCCAACGCCTTCTACACCTCTTATACTTTCTACACCTCCAACGCCTTCTACACCTCTAACGCCTTCTACACCTCCAACGCCTTCTACACCTCAAACACCTTCTACACCTCAAACGCCTTCTACACCTCAAACGCCTTCTACACTTCCAACACCTTCTACACCTCCTATGCCTTCTACATTCCCCACGCCTCCTTCCGATGATGACTATGGGTTGCTTTGTGATCCATTTCAGAAAGAAACAAGACCCGTTGCTAATAATTATACATTTTTTCGCGATTTATTTCAGAAGGAAATAAAGCACTTTGTTAATGATCATGATCTGTATGAGTTGCTTCTTGATCTATCTGAGGAGGAAATAAAGTTCGTGG